ACACAAATGTTATTTATTAACCTTTTCGTGGTTTTATTTGACGAGTCGACGCCCACAAGCTGAATAAAATTAATAAAAACTGGTTTTATTCTCATGAAAAGTCTCAGATTTTTGCGTTTTGTTTTATGAAATGCAAAGTTTCTGATTTAAATTCTTTTGTCTGTGTGCTTCCTGTGGTCTGAACCGGGTCGGGCAGTTCTGAGCCGAACCCGCCCGTCTTCAGCTCGACTTGTTTTTGTTGTTTTTCGTTTAAAAAAAGACAGAATCTGAATCGTTTTCTTGCTGGTTTTGGACCCCAAAAAAAAGGTCCAGATTCTGGTTTTTGTTTCAGTTCTTTTCCACCGYGGTGCTCCCTGGTTCTGTTCTCACCGTCGGAACCGACACATCGGGTCGGGGGGGTCCCTCAGATCAAAGATTAAATCAGAGGAGCTTCGTTTTTATTTTTCACGACACCACAACTGCTAAAGGGTTTCACGACAGGCTGGGTTCGGACCGGACCGCCGGCAGGTCCAACAGGAAGGGTTGTTACACTACCCAGCGGGGGGATTGGGGGGGGTTCTGGTGAAGTCATGAATGACTCGTTCCGGGCCTCTTTCTGCAGGGACAAAGTCCAGGCGGGATGCCGGGCCCGGGGTCCCCCACCCCCCCCTTACGGCTGGCGGTGCTGCCCCGGTTCTGACCCCGACAACGGGTCCCCTCTGTGCCGCTGGACCCCGAGACCGGGCCGGATCCTGAGGAGCCTGTGACCTCAGCATGTGTGGGGTCTCTCACAGAACCGGGGCCAACCAGACTTGGAAGCCAGGAACGGTTTGAAGTCCAGAACCAGAACCACAGCGAGCAGCCTGGGAGTGACACTGAGAACCACTGGATATCTGTCACACAGAGCTGCAAAGTTACTAAGTACAAATACTTTGTTAATGTACTTAAGTAGAATTTTTGTGTATCTGTACTTTAATTATTTTTCAGCGTACTTTTTACATTTTTAAAAAGACAAGAAGTAGAAAGTCGTTACTTTTATTTCATTTTTGCTTGTTTTCATTGCAGCTTGTTATTGTAAAAAATAAAAACTATCCATTTGACTTTGACTTTTAATACTTAACTACAACAAATATCAGATACTTTAAGAGTTTTACTCAAGTAATATTCTTAAAGGAGACTAACTTTTATCAAAGTTTTTGCTAAGATACTTGTACTTTTACTCCTGTGTGGTATACAACACACACACACACACACACACACACACACACACCTCAGGGTCACACACACAGTGTGTGACCCTGAGGTGTGTGTGTGTGTGTGTGTTTAGACTGCGACACTCAAACAGAAACATGCTGTGCAGCCAATCAGCTGACTTGTGTAACGCTGAGACTCCTGCACCTGTCCCCAGGTGTCCACCAGGACCAGGACTCAGGAGGACCCGCCCTCACATCGGTACCAGCATTAGGTTCCGACCCGGTCTCGGGCGGTTCCAGTCGCGTTGGGACCCCGTGAGACAAACTTTTCTGCCGCCGAGCAGCGCYGTCACCGCAACAAGGCCTTGTTGGTCTTGAGATTCCCGCACACACACAGATTCTAGACGCRGAACAGAACCGGGTCCTCCCAGAAGGTATCAACCGACGACGATGACCTGTAACCCTCCTCACAAGAAGTTCTGGACTCTCCGGTTCTGTGTTCCGTCTCTTCGAATCAGCGGTTGTCCTCCGGTGGACACGCCCCCTGTCTTACACACCGTCAGTCCTGTGACTACCTGTCCACTTTAGACCCACTGAAGACCCCCGAGTCCGCCTGGTTTTATCTTTTTATTGTTTTAATGTAACTATGTAACACACACACACACACACACACACACACACACACACACACACAATAAATGATCAAATATATGAAGCCTAACCAGAACCCGTCTCCAAAAACCGAACCAGGACTTAAAAACTGGACCATTTCAAACCCAAATCTACCACCTCAGAACCAGGACCGGGACCAACCGGGTCCTGCAGAACTTTCCTCCACCTCAAACACCTTCATTTCAAAATAAAAGTCAAATCATCTGAAATTAAATCATAAATAAAATTTTTTTAAAATGTTTTCAGTTTGGATCGGCTCGGTTCTGGTTCTGTTTGTAAATAAAATGTTTTTATCTCCTGAAACTGTTTCTGATTTCAAAGTTCGAAATGATTCCGAGTGGATCGGAACCAAACAAAAACCCCAGACCTGCAGCCAGAACCAGAACCATGTGATCACACAAACCCAAACGACTCGTGAAACCAGAACCAGACCCGGGTTTCCGGACCTCAGACCGCAGCGGGACTTACTTTGGGTTGGTCCGGTTCCAGAACACCGCGTATCGGTCCGAGACCACCTTGGCCGCCGGGTCCTGTCCGCAGACACACATCCCGACACCGAGGCTGAGGAGCAGGAGGGTCTCCACCTGCGGCATGTCGGATCTGGACTCGGTTCGGAGGTTCTGACACTTCACCCCCCTCAGCCGGACTGAAGGATCCGATCCGTCCCAAACCCCAGAACTTCAGTCCGTCCAGAAGTGGATCATGTCCTCTCAACAGCTCGGGACTGGCTCTCCAAAGTCCGGAACCAGAACTGGACCTCCAAATGAGAAGTGATAAAATAATAAAACCGTCTGTGCAGAAAACTGCAGCAAAAAGACAAAAACTGCTTTTTTTGTTTGTTTGGGTTCGGTTCTGTCCTCCTGTGACTCGGACCAGCGGCTCCGGTTCCGTCCCGCTCCTCGGTGGAACCGAACTGAGCTCCTCTCCGGGTCTGATCAGGAGCGCGCAGGAAGCGGCTGCTTCTGGGCTCTGATGAGCTGTGGCTCCGGTGCCATGCTCCCCCCGAACCAACTCCTCCTCCCCCCGCCCCTCCACTGAATGTATGGCAAGTCGTTTGTCTACTTATTTTACATTTATTTATCTCAAACATCGTTTTTTTTCCTCAGTAGTTCCTACGGCAAGCCATTTATCCCACGTTCCTTTTTTCAGTATATGGCAAGCAGTTAGCTATTTATTCCATTTTTCTATATTTCAAACAAAACTGTTTCACTAGAACGTATGGCAAGCTGTTATTATTCCATATCGAGTAGTGGTTCCCAAAGTTGGGGTCCTGAAAAAATATATTTTTAATTAATTACACAAAAAATGACAACTAAAAACATTTCTTTGCTTTTGTTTTTACAAAATAATAAGATTAGTGTACTTAAAAAGGACAAAAATAGCGTAATAAATAAAGTTACTATGCTTTTGTTTATTTGACGTGAAAACAAAGTTGGGGCTGGGGGGCCCAGGTCTCTGCTGCTGGTATTTTGTGGGTCAAAAGCTGAAAAGTTTGGGAACCACTGTTTTGAGTATGGCAAACCAGTTGACCATATATTCCATATCCCTGTATCTCAATCATCATTTCCCCCACTCGTGCGTATGGCAAGCCATTTGTAGCGATTCATTTTTTAATCTCAATGTATGACAAGACATTTCACTATTTATTTAATTTTCCTGTATCAAAAACAATTTTTTCTCTCAGTAGTGAGTATGGCAAGTCGTTTGCCTACTTATTCTACATTTATCTGTCTCAAACATTGTTTTATTTTTCTCAGTAGTACGTAGGGCAAGACATTTTGGAGGATTTATTCCACGTTCCTTTAGCTTACTGTATGGAAAGCAGTTGGCTATTTATTCAATATTCGTATATTTCAAACAAAATTGTTTTTCACTAGTAAGTAAGGCAAGTCGTTATTATTCCATATACCTATTCTTTTATGTTAGAGTATGGCAAACCAGTTGACCATTTATTCCATATCCTTGTATCTCAATCATTTTCACCCATTAGTGTGTATGGCAAGCCTTTGGAGGGATTTTTTCAATTTTTTTATCTCAATTTATGACGACATTTCACTATTTATTTCATATTCCTGTATCCCAAACACATTTTTTCTTTCAGTAGTGTGTATGGAAAGTCATTTGCCTACTTATTCTACATTTATTTATCTCAAACATAATTTTTTTTCTCAGTAGTATGTAAGGCAAGACATTTTGGAGGATTTATTCCACGTTCCTTTATCTTTCTATAGCCAGGGTTGCACATAACGTTTTGGTCTGGTTCTCAGGGGAGAACCCAGGGTTGTTACTTGGTACTCATATTTTCTTTCACTCATTTAACACATTTATCTAGAGGGGCATCAGGTCATCTAACGTCCCCCTGTTCTGTTTTATGACTCCTATCAGCTGCAACGTCTCAGGACATCATGTCAAATCAGTCCAAYACGTTTTTATTTTGTTCTTTTACTCTGCATAAATTTTGTAAAACRACCTAAGTGTCCGAGGGGCTGGGTGTCATATAAACATCACAAACTGAACATTTCATGGTTAAATGTCTTTTAGACACATGTCCCTCAGATGGACAGCTCCTGTTTGGTCTTCACTTCAGCCTTGGTTAAACCAGCTTTCCACTCTCCAGTCCAACCAGCAAATATCTGTCTTTTGCACAGAGCAAAATAACTTAAAATATAAAAATGTTTTATTTGTTAGACTGATTTCTTTTTTAAAAGACTWTTWTWTKMAAARATAWTACTATTTAGATGGTTTCAGCTCATGTAATTATTTATTCTTCATATCTGATCATTTAATAAATTAYATTTATCCCAGAAAAGCTGTGTCACAGTATGGTTCTAAATATAAACAGGTTTAACACATCGAGAACCTTGTTTTTTGATAAAATTCTGAATGAAATTTGGGGATCTTAATGATAAATTAAAATAACATTTAAAACTCATTCACCTAGAGGACATGGCAAGTTGTTTTTATTTATTAAAATATAATTTTTTTGACTGGGGTGTTAAACAGTCATCTTTGCTTTAATATGGGGCAAACAAATGTTCTGTTAGTTAATGTGGTTTAATTAGAAAAACTCAAACAGTGAATCTCACAGACAGCCTGCGCGCACAGCAACATGCTCGTACAGCAGTCTCTCAGGAGGAGAGTTTAGTCACACAGAGTTGGACAGATCTGTTCAATAACATTCTGAGCATATATTTAATATAAAGTTATGTTTTACAGATCAAAGTCTCTGGTAGTTCAGGAACAAAGTGCAGGAGGAGATGACTGACAGACCGCTGCAGCCTCTCTGCTCGAGCCGGTCCGCTGCTTCAACCAAACGTGCTCTCACTGAAAGTCCCGCCCTGCTCTGCTCTGATTGGATAAAAAGGCTCTGGACTTCGTCTGATTTGTTGAAGGCAGTGTCCGTTTAATCCTTTTATCAGGGTCCCTCTGTCCATCTTTGTGAGTACCGAACTTGATCCAGTCACACTGTGCGGCTGGAATTTTTTGATTTTTTTATTTTATTTTAAGAAATCGGGTCGCATTTGCGACCAAACTGGTCGCACTCTAGAGCCCTGCTGGCTGTTGTTCTGACAGATAATCAGGTAAAATCTTAGTGYGCAAGTGAGCTTTATGACGTTACATCTGGTGCGCTTTCCTTTTTTGACCGCGCAAGCGCACCTGCGCACTGCTTATGTGCAACTCTGTCTATATGGCAAGCAGTTGGCTATTTATTCCATATTGTTCTTTCTTGGTTCTATGTATGGCAAGTGATTTGACTAATCCATATTTCGTATCCTTACGTAAAGCAAGCAGTTATTTATTCAAAATTCCTGTACCTAAACAGTTTTTCCCACCTCACTAACGTCTAAGCAAGCCATTTTGGGTTATTCAATTCATAATCCTTTTTTATTTTCCTATTTATTCTTTAACCTTTTATCTCATGTATGGAAAACCGTTGGCTATTTATTCTGTGTTCTCATAAATCAACCGTTGTTTTGTCTCACTAATTTGTGACTAACCTGCACTAGTTCAACACTTTGTTCACTAGTACAAAGAACTCTGCTGATGTTCTGATGTAATATGGCAAGCCCTTTGTGTATTTATTCCATATCCTCAATATGAAGCAACAAATTCTCCTAACTTGTGACAAAATGCTACTAGCTTTTTGTCCAACTAGTTAGAGCAGAGTTAAAAGGGCAGACTAAGAAGTCTTAACTAGTCTTCGTTTTTAACTCACTAAAACTGGACACAACTAGTTAACAACTTTCATTACAAGCTAACTAGTGAGCATCACAAATATTTACATGCTTACTAGTCAAAGCTCAGTATTTATGTAACAATTTTACCTGCACCAGTAAACTGTGAGGTTAAAGAGACGTGAACTAGCCAACCGATCTAAACCAGTTTGACTAGTTAAACGTTTTAGAACACAGGATTACTAGTTGGTTCATTAGACCTTCACGAGTCAACTAGTTGGACAAAATGAAGGTTTTCAGTGTTTGCAGGTTTGGTTGTGTGAATCACGGGGAGTTAAAAAGCCAACTAGTTAGAAGGTTTGGGTTACTGGTGCAACACTCCAGCTGACTGGTTTGACTTCTGCTACAACTAATCAAACTGAAGTTGAATTAGTTGGAAAAGATTGTAAAAAGTAAGAGTGTTTATTCAACTAGAGCAAACAAATATGCAACTAGTTGCAGTTAGTTACTGAGAAATTAATGCTTCTTWTTGAGAATATGGAATAAATGCACACGCTTGCCGTATGATAGAATACAACCAGAGTTTTTTTTAATAAATGTTTTAAAAAGAATTTAAAAAGCCTGCAGGTTCCTGGTTGTTGAAGTGGTTTCAGTTCATGACTCGGTGCGCCCCCTGGTGGTTGTTAGCAGAAAAACATCCATTTTTTATTTTCTAAGCAGGAGTTTTATTTATATTTGTAGGATGTTTAAATTTGACCTCCTGGGTAATATTTTGTTTGAGACGAACAGAGCTGCAGTTTGTTGTTAACCAGACCCTCTTAGAACCACCAGAACCATGAAGGAAGCCTGTCTGAGGTCTGAACAGGACGAGTGGAAACATCACAAACATCTGGACGTCTTCCACCCGAAAGGACGTTCTCCAGTCTGCTTCCATCTGTTTGGCTCCTGACGCCACATTTCTCTGAAGTTTGTTTCAAAACTTCTGCTTTCTCAATGAAACACTGTCTGCGGCGTCAGAGCCAATGTTTTATAATCTGGGCTGAAGCGGATTTATATTATAAACATGTTAAATTCATCAAGTTCTTTACATAAATCCAAACAAATGTACCTTAATGTGTAAAAAGAGCTCCTGTTGAAGGTTCGGCTGCTTCAGCTGAACTCACAGCTTCAGATTTCTTCATCAGACACCATCTGGTTTTTCTTTGTTCACATCTCTTTTTTATCAAAGTCCCAGATTTTCTTCATCAAACAGGAAACTGTTTCATCATTTTTCAAGTTTCTCATTTAATTTTTAACTAGCATTTAGCTACTTTTAATCATGTTTTGTGACTTTATTGCTTTTGATTTGATTTGATTTATTTATTTAACAGGAAAATATTATTAAAAATCAAGCCTGACTCAGCAAAATTGCTGTTTTACAGCAGGTTCCTGTTCTGCAGCACATAAAACACTCAGAATTACAGCATCACAATCACATCATTATACACCATAGACACAAAGACAAACAAGCGTACCAAATTTCAGGAAGGCAGCATTTTAGTTAGAACTTTGTAAGATTTAACTTGCGCTTTGCTATTCTAGCTAGTGTTTTACAAACTTTGTCTTTTTTTTTAGCTTTTAGCACAAGCTTTATTACTTTTGGTAATGCTTTGCTATTTCTTTAGCTAGTGTTTTACTACTTTTGGATAAGCAAACATTTTGCTACTTCAGCTTCAGTTGCTATTTTTAGCTAGTATTCCATTACTTTTGGCTAGCATTTAGCTACATATAGCTTAGAGCTAGAAGTTGGCTACCTTTAACTT